TTTTTTTTTTTTTTCAGTGATGTAACTCGAGGTTTCCATTTGATTCCAGGTACGGATTCGAGGTTAGGTTTCGGATTCCGGCTGGGCCCAAACGCGGACGTGCAGATCCAGCTGGAGCTGGGCCCGCAGACGAACACGCAGCCGATCGGCCCCAACGCGGAGGCCCCGGCCTCGAGCAAGAAGCGGCAGACGAACCAACCCCCCGGGGTCCGCGCCCCCGCTCCCCCGCAACCCCCGCGGGAGACGACCAAGGGCCAGTGGATCGACTCGTGGCAGTCCACCATGGCCGACTCGCCCTCCCTCGACAAGGAGAAGCTCCTCGCCTACGACCCGACCAAACGCCAGGAGGGCATCGTCAACCACCTCAGACAATTGTACAAAGAGATAGATACTAATAAACAAACTGACAGCTGAATCCCCTCTCGTCCGTTTTTTTGTTCACCAAATTTGGACGTATTTCTATCAAACAGCACTAAGTGCAGTTCGGAATATGGGGTGTGCTCTAGAAAGCTGGATACACTGAAAAAAAATTCTTGCGTAGGTATAATTAGCATAGATTTCCCTTAAAAGCTATTTATACAACCTTATTTTTCGCCTCGAATTTGCCACACACAAAATTGTTCCACCTCGATCGATGGAAGATTACATCGTCACCTTCCAGGCAAAGTATCACAAGCCCCATGCGACGTTTAAAAATTTCCGCCGCCATTTTATTTTTTTACAGAGAAATTGTTCAACGAAGCTATCCGAAAATTTCACTGAATTTTCTTTGTGCTGCTGATAAAATTTAGTGAAATTTCCAAACAGATTCAACCAACAATTTCTCAGTAAAGAAATAAAATAGCGGCGGAAATTTGTAAACGTCGCATGGCGCTTGTGATACTTTGCCTGGAAGGTGACGACATGGTGCGTTATGTTTATCAAACAACGTAAAGTATCGATTCCAATATCCAAAAAACAAACGCCATTTCTTGAATGTGCAAAAGTCACCTACTGAGGTCTCCTGCTCATTATCTGGCGAACCAAAATGCTAGAAAAAAACTAACTGTACCGTTGAGTTCAGTATACTCAGCGCTTTAATTTAAACACAAATTGGATCCAAATACAGAAGTCACTGCAGAGGCTTTGACGCAACGCAGAAAATTACGCGGACAGACAGATGGCATGACATTATTGCTCAAAAATTTGATCATGCTGAACCACTCGAAGGATTGCTAAGACGGCAAAATGCAAGCATTAGGTACTTCAGAGACTTGAACACCAGCGCAGAAAAGTAGGCGGACCGACAAATCTGAGTTACTTGACGCATGGAGACGTTTTATTAGTTAAGATCATGCTGAATTGCTGAAACGCTTGAGACATCGTTGAGACGTAGACTGTAAAATGCAAGAATCTCTTCAGAGACTTTAACGCGGCTGAAAAAAATAGGTGTACCCGGTTCGCATACTTTTCTACGCTGCGCACTGACGAATGCGAATTCCTTGACGCATGCACTGAAAAAGAAGATTGGTACTAGAATTTACCATTCCTCGAGTTAGGTTTTCACACAGCGTCAATTCAAAGTCGATTCTGCGAGAGGAATGGTTACCTGTGCCAGTATATAACGTTTACCTTTCTTCTGGCCGAATTGACTCTTAATTAACGCTTGTGAAATACAGAGTGAAGGAATGGTAAATTCTACCAATCTTTTTTTTCAGTGTGGAGTTAAAAATTTGATCATGCTGAACCACAACAGAGATTTGTATATCCTTGGTGACAAACATTTCTCCTTTGCCACTGTAGCTTCGATCGGGAAAAAACGACATAATTTGTAATGAAAGCGACTCGTTTAAAGCTGCGAACGTAGAAATGTCGCGAAGGGGAAAAGGTTTGAGAAAAATTTTGGAGAAAATTCTGCTACTCACGTAAAGTGATAAGCAGTAAGTTGTGTCCATGGACAAATTTTCAGATACCTACTCAAGGCACACACTTGCAATTGCTTGTGACTTCAATTGGCAAAAAACGCGATTTTCAGATCTTTAATACAGCACCCTTCAATGCCTCACGTGCCACTTCGTTCGCGTCGGAAAATGAAATTTGCAGAAGTGCGTATCTCGGAAAACACGATTTTCCAGGAGAATAAAAAAACTGTATACATTCCTCTTTATTGTTAGTATAAGGGTAATACTATTGAGGATAGCAAGAATAAGATGGTGTGCTCCTTTGACGTGCCGCATCTGAGCAATGAGTGCGAGAGAGAGAAAGGACAA